GCAGGCTGACCGCGGAAGGTCTTTCACACCCATTTCCTGCATCAGCTTCTGATAGAAAATAGACTCAGTTCAGAAAATCCTGACAGATCTACGTCACACAGTCAGCATTTATGCACTCAACCATCTTGGTTCACCACAGGGAAGCCCGTTGTTGGTTAAGTCCCCAAAAAAAGAGCAGAAAACGTCTCTGTTAGTAGAAGCTAACTACTAGCGTTAGCAACTCCACCACACAGCAGAACTCATCCAGGCTTGTGTTATTTGTGAAGATACGCTGTCCAGCCAAAAAAGTTGCAACCGGGATTTAACTAAGCCAACAAGTACAAGCCTGCTATTGGATAATTACTGCATGGGTGATTATCTTGCAGCTGCAGCACGTTATCCAACTGGTGCAATGAGTTAGCCTGGCAAGCCAGACTAAATAAATGTATTTTTGCAAAAAAAGAATTTGCAAAACAAGAACTTGGTCTAGTTCACTAGGCTAGCAATGAGTTGCTTCTCATTTCCTAAACAACCATGTGGAAACACACATCTGGTGGTCGTGGAAAAGATGTTAGCCTGTTTGTGAAGGGTCAGATAGTTGGCATGCATCAAGCAGAGAAAACATCTAAGGAGGTTGCAGAAACGACTAAAACTGGGATAAGAACTGTCAAACGCTTTATTAAAAACGGGTCTGAGTCCAGATGGACCCTGTTCCAGAGGGATGGTGCATCAGGGTAAGAAGAGAGGCAGATGAAGTGATGCATCCATCATGTCTAGTGCCTACTACAGTTGTTCCTTGCAGTGTAAAGCAACTGTGGAGAGCATTCTGACTCCCAGCCTGGTCTGGTCATGTGAACTGAAAATCCAAGGCCAAACTCCTGCGAATTGTCTCATGGGCAGACAAAATAGTTGGCAGACCACAAAAAACTATCTCTCAGTTGGCTGCTGAAAGGGTGAGGAACACTGCAAGGAACATTGTAGCAGACAGCAGTCATCCTCTCTTCCATCAGTTTGAACCCCTGAGTTCGGGAAGGCGTTTAATGGGCTCGACACACGGGAGGCGACATCGCCTCTCCTCCATTCATTTTCAATGAGACATGCGCGACAAAGCGATAATCGCGGTTCTCTCTCCTACTAAGCGAAACGCGAAAAACGTGCGTGTGAAATTTTGCACTCGTGCACGTGCCGTGCACGGACGACCCAGCGACGAGATCCCAGAAAGTTGAAACATTTTCAACTTTTCATCGCTGTCACTCGGGCGAGGACCAATCAACGGAGGTTTCATTCACTGACCAATGAGGGGACAGGATGCTCCGTACATCTCCGAGCAAACATGGAGGAGAAGTTGATTATTATTATGTTTTATAGTAAAATCAGAAGTAAGATTTCACATAACTCTAGCAGCACCTTGTGAAACATCATATCTACCACTTTATTAACTCTGAACCGCTTAAATAACCTTAATTCCCTCCAACCTGACACAGCCAAGCAAAACAATGGAAGTTTCAATTTCGCCATGGAACAGAACGCGTAGACGGCTTTGCCGCTGCCGCGGATCGCCTCCCGTGTGTCAGGTAATAAAAGCGACAGCGACAAATTTCGCTGATCGCCGTCGTTTGTCGCCTCCCGTGTGTCGAGCCCATTAGGGTGCCTCTTGCAACCAAAAATATATATAAAAAAATCATTCGTACCATGTGTTGTAATGATCCTTAACCAGCGTAAACAATGAGACCCAACTAGTGCACATGTGTCATGAATGTTTGTATGTTTGAATGTTTTTAGTTCTTGAGAGCTGAAGGAAAATTTCCACCACGGTGGACAATAAAGTTTTATTCTATTCTATTATTCTATTCTACTGTACAAGCATGTGGGGGCAGTGCTATGATATGGGGTTGCTGCAGTTGGTCAGGTCTAGGTTCAGCAACAGGATGTGCTCCAAGAATGAGGTCAGATGACTGCCTGAATATACAGAATTACCAGGATATTCCATCTTCCCCGATGGCACGGCCATGTTCCAAGATAACAACGCCAGGACTCACCGGGCTCAAATAGTGAAAGAGTGGTTCAGGGAGCATGAAACGTCCTTTTCACACATGAATTGGCCACAACAGAGTCCAGACCTGAACCCCATTGAGAACCTTTGGGATGTGCTGGAGAAGGCTTTGTGCAATGGCCAGACTCTACCATCATCAATGCAAGATCTTGGTGAAACATTAATGCAACACTGGATGGAGATAAATCTGGTGACATTGTAGAAGCTTATCAAAACAACGCCACAGCAAAGGTGTGTTGTAATCAAAGCTAAAGGTGGTCCAATGAAATATTAGATTGTGTCATGGACGTAGTTTTCCAACATCAATTTTTGTCCCCTGCACTTTTCACTGTCCAAAAACAATATTACGCTAGATTAAATAGACATTGAGCACCAGGACCATGCAGAAAACAACCGCTTGTGTGGAAGCCTGTTTCCCATTACACCCACGGTCCTCATGCCGGTTGTCTCTCCCCCACTTCTAAAGCCAAAACTACGCTCATGGATTGTGTGCGACCTGTTTTGTGACAACTTTTACTTTGGCCAGGGAGTGTAAAACATCAACGTTGCAATGCAGAGTCAATGGAAGAATTGCATTGCTGTTAGCCAATCAGAAGTGAGATATCTAAATATCAGGAAATAGGTAGCCTAAGTCTACTTCCGCATCACGGGTCCCCAGAAGAACGTAAAAACTAATTCAAGTCAACGGGGCTAAAAATGCTATTTTCTGATCCGCTTTGCCTTACGTCCTGGATCACACATATGTTGTACTGCAATTTAAATGAAAACTATTAATGGATGTTTCGACCACGCCAGTCACGTACTTTGGGATTTATTAGCTTTATAAAGCCCTTTTCCCTCAGTTTTCTCCGTGTCTGGTTCGATGACGTCATTTTCGTGACGCGCATTTGTAGTCCTGGACTTATTTTCACACAAAACCTAAAATATCGTTCCCCCGTTCGAAAATAAGCGCAATCTTGGTATCAAAATGTGTCTTTAAAATTCACGGACATCATATGTGAAATCCATGGCGCAAATCAAGTGAAATTAGAAAATCGCATTTTTAGCCCCGTTGACTTGCATTCATGTTTTCGTTCTTCCGGGGACCCCTGGTGCGGAAGGGACTTAGGCTCCCTATAAGACTCTAAATCCTGCCGTCCTCTGCCATTTTCTCCTCCGGTTGCCTTCTACGTCTTCACACAGAAGCATCTGAGCTCCCACCCCAAGACAACTACTTACAAGGCATTTTTCCTACTAGAGACCACTGCAGATGTGTTAAACGAGTGAACTTGATTGTAATTCACCATTTAATACCATGCAGCTACATATTAGTTTATAATGACTGAATAAACTGAAACTTCATAATTATTTTATAAGCTGAGAGAATAATCTGCAACACATACTCGATGTGCTGAGATTAAGCTCAGAAAGTCCCTAAAACTCTATAAACGCTGGCTTGAAAGGTGATTAAGGATGAGACTTTTGTTGTTAAAACTTTTTTTTTGCTTCAACAAAACTCTGACTTAAACCATGAGCTTCAGTTTCAAGGTGAGGTCAGGTGAAAACAACCATAATCACATTACAGAGTGCAGGTAAAGAACCCTACAGGTCATTTTAGTGTTTAAGAGTCCCAGGATGAAGGGAACACACTAAACACCCAATCTGACCAGCCATCAGTGAAGGATGATGCTAAATCAGGACTTGGTGGTTCCTACTGGATCAGGAGCAGAGTGAGAAAATTATATTTAACTAATTATGCTGAACTTCTGAGGACGAGCGCAACAGTCTGTCAAGATTGTCACCATGGAAACGGGCCCAGACAGCAAACACAAAGTCAGAGAGTGCACGGAGGGTGAAGTGACTCACACTCAGTCCCTACCCTGATAGATTAAAACTTCACACACACGCTAAACGCCTCTCAGATTCACACACACCTCCATCCACCGTCTGATCTCCGTTTCACACAACCTACCAACATTCCTCCCAGACACGTTTTATTTCAGTTCGGACTTTGGTCTGAGGGTGGAAATTGCCATGAGAGAGAGGACTTTGATCCGCATCAGCATTTTTCTTCTTCTGTGGTTTCGGGCTGTCCACCACCCAGTGATGAGCCCCAAAAAACAGAGGCGCTACTGTGACTCAGGTGCAACTTTCTATGACTTCTCATACCCGGAAGCTCTTAGTTTGCCCTCTGAGACCCACAGCATCAACAGACAGGCTTCGTTTGTCTCTGAGTACAACCACATGATGTCACTAATGAGTCAAACGGAACGGAACTTTACCGTCTTCCTGTAGGGCGAGGGTATTTGATTCCGGGCCTTAACTCTGCTTCAACACACCTGATTTCAGTCAGCAGGTCATTAACAGGCTTCTGTAGAACCCGATGAGCTGCGGCACAGGTGATTTGCCACTGAATCGTGTGCGTTGGAGCAGAGAAACCATTAAAATGCGCTGGACAGCAGCCCTCCGTGACCAGAATTAAACACACCTGCTGTAGGGTCATCTGAGACGTGAAATTTCCCAGTAATCTTAAAAAAAAAAAAAAACTACACAACTCTGATGGACACGTGGCTATTTGAGTGTTTTTGCATCCATAAACTGAACGGGAGCATTTTAGGGGCAGATTTACTATTTAGGACATGTACAATTAAGCAAGAAGAAAAATCAGGGAAATCAGGGAGGTAGAACACAGAACCCCCTTGAAACATTTAGCAGGAAGAGCTGAAACACCTAAACACACTCTCTGCAGAATTCCATTTGGGAGAATGCTGAACAGGATCCGGACTCTGTTCTGACTCGTTGAACCACAGATTCGACTCAGTCAGGACAGAATTTGATCCAGGTGGACACGTCAGACGCCCAGAACAGAACCAACACACACCTAATAAGAGACTCGTCCTGACTGGCTTACAGCAGCTAATTAGGCTGAGTTTGCATCGTGGTCTCCTGAGTTTCAGACCAGATTATTTTAGTTTCTCTGAGCATTTACCTGTGACATGAAGCTCTCCCTGTAGGTTTGACTCTCAAAAACATCTGTCTGCAGGCGTTCTGAAATCAAGCACACACAGAGGATTATTATATTTTTACACTTTAAGCTTCACTACAACCATTCGGTTCTGAATAACTGGGTCCAGAGCTGGCCTTTCTTCACCTATCTGAGAAACCACATCACTGTAATGCCCCATCATGCTTTGCACCGATACATCATGCTGTCTGACTCGTATGTTTATGTGTTGTGGGTCCGAGTACCTCTGCTGAGCGTGGCTCCATTCTCTCTATAGTCTTGAATCTCTGCATCCTTCCGAGCCAGTAGACCTCCCAGCTGCTCCACCTGCTGTTGCAGCAGGCGGCTCATCACCAGTAGGGGGCGCACAAGCTGAACACACACCTGGCACACATGCAGACACATTAAAACAGCCCTCCCTCTTCAACAGGCCGTTGGATGACGTGAAATGTACCAAAGCAACAGGAGCAGGGCTGCAGATGAACTCCCAGTGAAAGGGTAACCCTGCCAGCTCACTCTTCAGCTTCACATGGATGTTTCCATCATCCTTTCGATTCAGGAAAACCTGAACCTCACATTCAGCAGCTCCAGCTCTTCCTGACAAGCAAGGCTCAGCTACCTCGCACAGGTGGGAGAAAAAAGCTCCGACCGACGCTCGCAGACGGGGGTTCAGCTCCTGTAGGAACAGAGCCAGATTCACCTGGTTAAACATAAAAACTTTAACATACCTGGAGTGAGTTTAACCAACCTGGGCTCTACTGTGGATGGACGCTGCGTCCATCCTCTCCTCCCACACACAGTGCATGTCAGTAAGCAGGACGCGGTATGACGTTTCACCAAACCAGGTCTTGGAGAGGAGCTGGCAGCTGCTGATGTTCACAGAAAGCCACGGACGCTTGAGAAGGACGTCGTCTGCAGGGTCAGCGCTGGCCTCCATCCCCACCAGACACCTCCAGGAGGAAGAAAAGGATAAGGAAAAGAAAATTGGCACTCGTATAAAGGTGTTGCATCTCACAGTTTTGTAGGAATGGCATTTAGTGTGAATTTAGACATGCCTCAGTAAATTCCAAAATTTTATTGCAATCATTTCATTGGTTTTTGTGAGATTTTTTTGTAAAAATCCTCCCCAAGCTGAAGACAAACATCACACAGACAAACAGAAATAAATAAAGTAGAATCACACTGGTTTGGGGACTTTTGCATAAAATAAACATTCCTGCAAATGTGGGATTTTTACCATTTGTTTAGTGACTAATGCTTCTGCTGGAATGATAATAAAAAATATTTAAGTAATTTTCTAAATAACTTAATTAAAAAAATATGGCTTAATATAAAGCCAAAAATTAAATCTACAGTGTAGTTAATTACAATTATCTCAGTGGATACCTGTGAAAAGTAAAATTCTCCTTTAAACTCACACTTCCGAGGGATGTATCTCAAAAGCTTGATCTCGGGCCAGTATTTGATGAGAAACCTGGCCTCCAAGCGCTCCACCACCGTCTCTGACTGGTCTGAGATCAGTTAGATCTTTTTGGAGAGCACTGGAACTAAACTGCACTGTAAAAGAAGGCCTGTGGTTAAAGAAATGAGCTGGAAATGCAACTAAATCCCCACCAGACTTGGTTTAAAATAGATTCGTACAATAAATTCGTACTATAAACTGCTAATAATTCTAACCGATTTATACAAACAGGTGCCAATTAATCATATCGGCAGCTCATGTTCAGATGACAATCATGTTTATCTAAAGAGTAGCTTTTTTGTTTAAATTAATCAGCAAGTTGACCTACCTTCGGGCGGAGCAGGAACAACCTAACTTTTCTTTGGTTAAAATTATAATTAATATAATCAGTTTTGTAGCAGAGCGGCTCACCACACGTGTATAAATGTGTAAACACTAATTATTGAGTCATAAAAATAAGTCAAAGCGTTTCAAAGGAAGAGCAACTTTTCGGCCGGTTGTTGTTAACAAGTCCGACACCGACGTGAAACATAAACGCACTTCTATGGTTCCGCTAGTCATAAAATGTGTTTTGAGATTTTTAGGGACATTTAAAACATTTTTTTTGTCTGTTTTGTGTAATCAAACATCATTAGTTTAGATTTTTATAATAAAATACATTATATTTAATTGTGTTTATGTTTTTCTTTTGCATATCTGTGAATCAAGTATCACACTGTAATTTGGTAGTTGGCTTTTTAGAAAACTGCAGAACTTCCTCCAGCTCCTCTCACTCTGCAATGGGCCAGATGTGGCTGAACTATTAAAAAATAACAACCAAGGATCCTTAGAAAAAGGATGATATAAAAGCAAAAATTAGAAGCTAACATAAGCAAACTTAACCTTTGGTGGCTTCATTAGAATTAGAAACCAACTGTTAAACTTACTATAACATGAATAATCTAACTATTAAACTCTTCACCATAAATCTAAAGTTGCAGATCTTGATTCTGCTGACTCACATCACGTGACTTATTCCCAGGAAAAAGAAACAAACTATGGTATGACAAGCCATTCTACATTTAATCAACAATCATGCCTCTTTGCAATTCATATTTTAAATTTGAAAAACATAATTTATCCTTGTATTAATAGAATAATTACTATTCAAGAATAACAACAAAGATTTCATGAGCTATGTTGTAACTAGAATTTATATTTAAGGACGATAACAACAACACTTATTGAGACAGACTGGATAAGTGTATTCCAGATTTAATAAAAATTTATTTTTCGCCCCAAAAATAAAAACACTCCAGATATATATAACAGCTTTGCTATCCACAATGAATATTTCTTAAATACAATTCTTTTCACAATAAATTATGCCACATTTCACATTGAAATGAATTAAGTTTTCAGGCTCCTATTTGTAAATCATTCTTCCTATGTGGAACGGACTATATATTATATAAACTGAATTCTGACCAGGAGAGACTCTCATTTTAGATATATAGAAATCAGCTGTTTTATGTAAAAATTCTTATTTAACATAAAAAACGCTATTCCAGATATCTGTAAATCTATCCAAACATACATTTAGACTAGTACTATTTTCATTTTCGATAGGCAGAACCACAATATCACCGGCAGGAACAAATCATTTCTTTCTGTTTTGAAAATTTTATGTCATTTACTTCATTCCTCCCATCAATATCCAGTTTTACAGAGCCTGAAATTGTAATCGACAAGTCTCTCCTAGTAAGAATTTGGTTTCTGCTATCCACAATGTTCATGTCTGATGGGAAGATTGTGGATATGTGGCACTAGAAACCCAGTAGACATGAATGAGAAATGTGACAATTTGGATTTCTTAGGAAGAATTACATTAATATAGATTAACCCTTTGATGCATAATGGTCATTAAAGTGGACAGGTACCCAAAATTGTTATTTATTTATTTATTTATTTATTTATTGTTTTGCTATTAAGCACAGATGGTTAGGTGGGCTGAGGTGACATGGTCTGAGCTGGGCTCTAATCAGCTTCAGCATTCATTCCAGGTGAGCGGTGTCTGAATGGGACCAGCTGCAGCAGATCCACCATCAGCCACTGCTGGCTTAAAAGGAGGAGGAATACCACTGCTCAACACCGGTTGATTACACCACACACGGGTTTATCCAGTTGGATACACTACTGCCACGCAGTCTTTAGGAAACTCTAGTCTAGTCTAGTCTAGTCTAGTCTAGTCTAGTCTAGTCTAGTCTAGTCTAGTCTAGTCTAGTCTAGTCTAGTCTAGTCTAGTCTAGTCTAGTCTAGTCTAGTCTAGTTATATTTTTGATTACTCTACCTGATGTTTGCTCCTTGTTTTTCCCTTAAATCCTGCTCAACTTCACACCTTCAGCCATAATCCTGGGCCTCTCTTCAGCTTGCATCTTCCTCACCACAGTCCCGTTCACCACCGCTCATCCACCCCTCTCTGGAACCCTTATCTCGTTCCCACTGGACACTTGGATCCTGCCACCTCAGAACTAACCAACCTCCCCACTTACCCAGCAGCACAATCCAGTTTTTGCCCCTCTTACCTGCATCTCTGTTTGGGACGCCCTTAGTTGTGCACCGTTTAATAAAACCTTTGTTTAATTTTACATTAGTCTCTTGTGTTGATTCTGCATGTCTTGGGTCAAGTACTAAAACCTCAACATGACAAGCCCCTTCATTTGGACTTCAGTAAGTCAAGCCAACATGTTTCATGTTCAGAATGCACGCTGTCCACTGAGGTGGACATGTAATAAATTATTTATTACATGTCCACTGAGGTGGACATGTAATAAATAATTTATGACAAATTATTTGTAAATTAAATGTTACAAAAATATTTGAAATTTGTTTCATTCACACCTAAAAATGAATGAAAAAAATGTTTTAAAAAATCATGGTTGAAGATTTCATAATTTATGCATCAAAGGGTTAACTGTTCATCATGGAATTTTATGGATATGTCCAGTAATCGGAAGGTTGCAGGTTTGATCCTGACTTCAATCAGAGATTGATGCTGTTGTGTCCTTGGGCAAGACACTTAACCTGCTTTGCCTGCTGGTGGTGGTCGGAGGGACGGTGGCGCCTGTGCTCAGCAGCTTCACCTCTGTCAGTGCGCTCCAGAGCAGCTATGGCTACATCATAGCTCATCACCATCAGTGTGTTAATGTGTGTGTGTGAATGACTGATTGTGTTGTAATGTGCCTTGGGGGGTTGTAGAACCCTAAGAAGGCATTATACAAATACAGACCATTTACCAAAACAAGTTACTTTTGCTTTACGTTGTCCTTATGTGGTAAAGGTGTATATAATGATTTGATTCCATTTTGAATTTCTAATAAATATGATTTGTTATTCAGACGGGTATACTGTGGTTTTGTCATGGTGTTTGAAAATATTATTCTGTGTGCCCCTTTTTAAATTTGAGCACCCACCCCTTCAAAGGTCTCTGCACAGCCCTGGATATCTGGAATAGTAATTTTTACTAGGAACAAGATATTTGAACGTCATCTAATCCGCCTAATAAATGTTAGAGTGGCTTGCCATAACCTGTCAGTTTCAGGTTGAGTCAGCCAGGGAAACTTTCTTTGTTGCAACAGAAAAATTCTGTTCTTTGATGAATACCTCACACCCCTTTAATCTTAGCAAAAAGGTGCAGCACACTCCTACTCTTCGTGGAAAAGCTTTAACTGTCCATCCTTACAGCTATCAGAGAGTTTCAAGCTGACATGGAGCCTGAAAAATCACAAGGGGACAAGACCTCAAGCAGCACAACAAACACTCCAGAAAACAGGTAGGTCATCACAGACAGTCCAGGGGCACCTCCAGAAATGTTTGATTAGGGTGGCCAGATTGGTCCTTGTGGTAACTCTGGGAGAGTTTAGCCTGTGGCGATGCACTGCGTTGCTCCTTTATTTGTTTTTATTTAAAACACACACACACACACACACAAAACAGTATGTATTCAGAACATTTAACTCAAATCTTACAAACACAAACATTTAAAAAAATACAGTTCAGTTATTTAAAATGTTTTTTTTTCATAATGCATTTAAAATACTTTTTTTTGCTGTTGCTGTGTTCACAAAAAACTATGGAAATAAAAACTTTTATTTTTAAATGTTGAGAAGCAGAAACATGCATTCTTTTTTATTCTGATTATTTATTTACACATTAATTGTATCATTTTTATTGTGTTTTACATTTGTGTCTTGAATAAATAAGCTTAATGTATCGTTTGAGTGAACAGTGAGCAGCAATTTTCTAGGGGGTGGCCATGGCCTCCCCTGGCCACCCCTTGGGGGCACCGTTGAGACAGTATTGGAGAATTTACTGATCTAGTTCTGAAGAATCTTAGATTAGCGCTTCTCTCTGCAGCGAGAACACAAGAAAAACCAAAGAGGATGACGAGCTGTCGCTGATCACCTGGAACGTGGATGGTATAGATGACGAAGATCAGCCAGAAAGAGCCAGAAGCCTCTGCTCATATTTGACATCGTGAGAAAACTCTGAAGTCTTTTAGTCTGTCTTTTTTTACTAAGCATAAACATAATTTTTAAACATCCGGACAGATATGCTGCTGACGTGGTGCTTCTGCAGGAAATAGTCCAGCCCTACGTGCGTTTCATGTACAGACGTCTGGCTGACACCTACACCTTCATAAAAGGTACCCATGATGAGGCTAGAGTAGGAGCTGAGGTGGAGTCTCATTCGAAGCCGGGTTCTGATCCTAACAGGTGGTGAAACAGGTTATTTCACCATGATGCTGCTGAAGAAGACACGACTCACACTACTGGACAGTGAGATTGTCAGCTTTCCAAACACTCATCAGGGGAGGAGCCTGCTTGTTGCACAGGTTTGTGCACAATGCTCCAGCAAAACCGATCCTCTCTGGTTTTAAATGGACTGATTTCCCCTCAGACAGAACAAACATTTCAAATGTTCTTCTATATTTCAGGTTTTGTTCAGAGGCCAGAAACTGTGTCTGATGACGTCTCACTTTGAGAGCTGCAAGGCCAACTCAACAGAGAGGATGAGGCAGTTGAAGAAGATGATGGAGAGGATGAGCGAGGCTCCTGATGATGTGACGGTCCTGTTTGGAGGGGACACCAACCTAAGAGACTATGAGGTTCATTCAGACCCTCCTGCTTTAGCTTTAGCTGTAATAAATGATGCACTCTGGGTAATGTAGGCAAAGGAGAGACCTAAATATGAAGGAACTTTCAGGCACCTATTTTTAAAGATAGCAATTCAAAAATAAAAATACAACACTGCAAAATAGGCAGAGTTGCATCCGTTTGTTTACCTGCTATATTTAGTCTGATAAATGTCATTCCCATTCCAGGTAACTGCAGTGGGAATTCCCAGCTCTGTCTGTGACCTGTGGGAGCAGCTGGGAGAGCCGGAGAAGTGCCGCTACACATGGGACACTGGGGCAAACCACAACAATGAGATTGCCTTCAAGTGTCGTTTCCGTTTTGACCGAGTCTACTTGCGTCGAGCCTGCGAGGACAGGGTCCCACGGCTGAACCCCCACAGCATGGCCCTGATTGGACTGGAGGAGCTCAGGTGTGGCCGCTTCACCAGCGACCACTGGGGAATCTATTGCATGTTCTCCGTCGAGTAAATGTAAAATGAATGATGCGTTTTCTTTTGTCTGTCTTACAAGAACTTCCCATTTTCATTAATAAGTGCACATCTGTTCAATATATGTGTGAACAGAAAAGTACTGTAGGAACATTTCTGTCAAGGGAAACCCAGTTTTATAAAGCCCATTAGATAACATGCATGCATCTCAAACAGCTAGTGCAGGTTCAAATGTTCTTTTTAATAAGAACTACATCTTTGCTAAATTCAAAAGCAACACTTCAGATTTAAATTTGACCACCTGCATGAGAGAGCGTCTCATTTGTTTGATGGCAACAATTTCTTAACATAAAAATCCCCCCCAAAAAAACAGCAACACAGAATTGTCTAGTGGATAACGTTTGTCAGCACCAACTTTTTAGTAAAGACACGATTTGTGGTGTCAAATGTTCTTTTGATGATTTGGATCTTAGGAATCACATAAAATGTTAATCGTTCTTCAATTAAGAAAACTGTAAAACTGCTGAAACGTATTTAAAGAAAATTATCTTTAAAAAAACTTGTTCTAAGATAATGAGGCAGTAAACTGACAGTTACTCACAAATAAATGTGTCAATAGTCCTTATGAAAACTTAAAAATGAATGCCATTGTTAATTTTGACAGAAATGTAGTTTTACTGCAGGATTATATTTTTCTTTGTTTAGGGTTATTTTGGGTTAAGGTTTAAAGAGGTACCGCACACCATCAGAAAATGTAACTCCACCCCTAGTCAAGATGTGAAAAATGCCATGAAAGTGGGCATTGCCAGGAGGCACAGAGTGTAATGTTTTATCCCCACACACCACCTCTCGCAACCTTAGATCCACATCTGAAAACCTCCTGGCTGTTCCTCGAACCAGACTGAAAACCAAAGGGGACAGGGCCTTTCAGACTATTGCACCCAGACTTTGGAACAGTCTACCTTCAAATCTCGGTCTCTCTAACACTGTAGAGGTCTTTAAAAATAATCTAAAAACTCACCTTTTCATCCAGGCGTTCCCTCCCTAAATGTTTCAGAATGATGGCTTTGTTCGGGTTCACACCTTCACTTTGTTTATACTCATGATTTTATTTTCTACGTTTATCACTGCTATTTTTTTTCTGATGTTCTTATTGGTTAGAGGTATTTGCCCTGATCTTTATCATGTTGTAGAGCGCTTTGTGATTTATATCCGTGAAAGGCGCTATATAAATAAACTTTTACTTACTAATGGCCAAGTGTGGGGAATTTCCATCCTGGGAGGGAGGGGGAGTGGGAGGAGACTGTACCGATGACGTTAAATTGTACCAGCCCCAGTCAATCACAAGTTTAAAATGCAGTAGCCGCCGTTCTGCCACAGGGTGGCACTAAGACGTTTTAGACCCAGATTCTAGATTTAATCAAGTTACAAAGACATGTCAAAACTGCACAGAAACGGAAATATTTCATTTGTAAAGACTCATTTATACAGTTAATTAGCAAAAAAAAAAGTTATTTTGGGGTTTATTTACATACTAACGGCAGCCCCTTTAAAGGTCACGTGATTAGTCTCGTAGCCTTGGAGAAGTTTTGTTTACTTCCGGGCTTCTGAACCAGAGGGGGTACCAACGCGCCCACAACACGCAGCAAAGCGGATTAAAGCCCCGCAGAGATGGCAGAGGAGGCTGAAGACGAAATACCGGGTAAACCCTCTAGTTTTAATCGTGTTTTATTACCGGGACTTGACGGTGAAGCTTGTTTATTACCGGAAAGTGTTTAACTGTTCACGTTTGGCTAATTAGTGATGCTAGGCTGGTATGTTAGCTTCTACTTTAGCCTACAGGCTAACTGAAGATAAACATTTTACTTTGGTCTTTTCTTCCCACAAACTGTCATAAACCCATCTGTTTTTGTTCGTTATTCTCTGTTACTGCTTTAACATCCAGTCTGCATCACGTTAAGGGTTTTCTTCAACTTTCTTTTGTAAAACAGAACTTCAAAAGTAAAAAAAAAAAAAAAACACCTAAAAATCTATACAGAGGTTTCGCCTCGTTAGCCATCAAGTATTAATTAATTTGAAACACGTCCAGCTGCGAATCTGTCCCAGTGTGACTGGTGCTTGTGTTTTAGAACTGCGGTCTGCAGCCTCTACGAGGGATAGAGTCATTTTACAGTATTTCATATTTAATATTATTTCTTCAGAGTCACTAAATGTAGAAGAAAGCTTCGTTATTTTCTTACAGTTGGTGTTACACAGAGACTTTTATTTTGTAGGAGGTTGTATAAAAGGAAAGAACAAACAGTTTAGGCTCTTTTCATTTATTACAGAGCAATAAACTCCGTCAATACTGAGCAGGGGAGCAAGCTAACAAACAGCAAAACAAGCAGTTCTGTTTTCTTTATTGCCAAAACATGCACAACAAGACATCACTGAATTCAAGTGGTGTTTCCTTGTGCTCTGGTGCAAAAAGCAAAATTGTAAAATAATAGAAGTATATGAGGTAAAAAGGGGGAAATACCTAGAGGTGTTTGTGCACAGTTAGCAAAATAACAACAAATAGGTAAGGACAATGTGCAACAAAAGTACAAACTAGAGGTTACATATGGCAGATCTATGGATGTAAATAAAATACAATTATGAAATAGTAGTGAACAAATTTTAGACACGATTTAGAGAAAGACTTTTAACCTTTATTGTGTTTTAGTTTTAGTGTCATCTTCAACAGAAACATATTGCAAAAGGTTTGCATGGGAAAAACTGCTAAATCGACCCATCTGTATTGTCAGTTTGAATATTAATGTTACTCTGGTCTGTTTCTGGAGTCACTCAGGTGGGCTGAGGTGTCACATGAGGCTCCAGAGTTCACAGACCCGTTACAGTTCATTTTACAACTTGTTTCACTGGATGAAAAATAGGCATGTATTTAAAAAACATGCAGAAAAAGCAGAATGTGCTAGCTGTGTGAGGCTGTTTCTGTTTTCCTGTCTCCTTACATCTCTGTCAAAACAACAGAGCACTAGCCAAATGATAAAAAATCCTTCTACACAAATTCTACAGTTTTGATTTGATTTGTTATTCTTTAGACAAAAACGAACCAGAAACCAGTTCATTGTACACACCTTGTTTCATGTTTAAACCACAAAACAGAAAATAAATATTTCATTTAAAAATGTTTGAGTCTTCAAACAAAAATTATTTAAATGTAAGTTTTACTTGATGTGCCACTACAAGCTGAAGGTTTTCCTGTAGTTGATGTAAAATAAAATTCTTATTGCTCAGATAACTTAAAGTTAAGACAGTTACATTCTGTTGGTATTTTTGGTGCTGATCAAAGGTCAAAGGTGAAGGTTTAGCCTGTTGACACTCAGAAATTTAGATGCAGTTTTCTTTTTTCTTCCAGATTCGGGAGCAGTTTTTACTTTCGGAAAGAGCAAGTTTGCAGAAAACATCCCCAGTAAATTCTGGCTAAAAAATGACGTCCCTCAAACCATTGCTTGTGGGGATGAACATACCGCCTTAATAACAGGTTGGATGCATTTTCATATCTGATAATTTTCATTTGCATTGTAATCTGTGAATAGTTGTAGTTTGATACCAGTCTGGAAAAAAAAATCCCAAAGCGGTTTCTGATCAGATCTTGTTTTTGTTTCTGCAGAAAACGGGAAGCTCTTCATGTTTGGCAGCAACAACTGGGGTCAGCTGGGTCTGGGGTCCAAACTCACGGTGAATAAACCCACCTGTGTCAAAGGTCAGTCTTTAAATAACCTCGATTTTACTGACTTGGTCTGAATCACCTCAGTTAGAAGGTTCACCCTCCTAACAGCAAAGAGGAAGCAGGCTGAAAAAGGCAAGGCAGCTTTATTTATATAGCACATTTCATACACAGAGACAATTCATTGTGCTTTCCATTAGCAAGAACATTAAAATCGACGTGACAGAAAATACTATTTAAAAATGAAAAAGAAACAAAGTTAAAGGGAGAGCAGTCACAGTGCAGAAGGTGCAGCATATGAACATTTAGTGAAAGGCTGATGAAAACATGAAGGTTTTTCAATCCAGATTTTAAAGTTTTTAGAGTTGGGGCACATTTGAGGTCATGAGGAAGCTGATTCCGTCTATGAGCAGCATATTAGCTAAAAGCAGCTTCACCCTGTTTGGTTCTGACCCGGTTCTACCAGCTGACTGTTCCCTAAGGATCTCAGAGCCCTGCTGGGCGTAGATACAGGAAGGAGATCTGATATGTGTTCCGGCCCCATGCCACTGAGTGATTTATAAACTAGTAGAAGTGCTTTTAAATCGATTCTGTAGTTTGCTGGTAACCAGTGCAGATATTTAAGAACAGGAGTGGTGTGTTCGGTTCTCATGGTTCTTGTTAGGACTCTAGCAGCAGTGTTCTGAATAAGCTGCAGTTGCTTCACAGCTTATTTGGGAAGACCAAATTGCAATAGTCCAGCCTGCTGGAGATGAACACATGAATGAGTTTCTCCAGGTCCTGTCTGGACACGAGACCTCTGAGTCGTGCTGCATTTGAATTTAAATCTGCCATCGCTATTGGCTAAGAGGTACACTATGATGTCACAATGTCGTGAGTGCGTGTATTTGTTAGCGGCTCCGCCCTCTCGGTCTGCTAGGCAACAGCATTTGTTGCATTTTTCAAACAGGAAGTGGGAGTTGAGTAAGAATCTGGCAGGGGATGACTTGCTCTCTAATGTGACCAGTGAAGTTCAGGTCTGATTTAATTATGACACCAAGATTTCTAACTTGGGTCTTTGTCTTTGTTCCTCTGGACCCAAGTTGAGCAAAAGGTGAAACAAACTGGATGTAATGTAATTCTTATCTGGAGGGTGTATAATCTGCTTTAGTCTGCAGGTTATCAGTTTAAACAAACAAAACAGAGTTAAAAGTGAGTTTTTTCTGCACTTACATTTACTCCTGTTTTATAATGACTTTTAAATAAAGTTTAATCCAACTTCTGTATGCAAATTGAATTCTTAGAGAAAAAAACTTCCTCCTGTTTTATTTTTCAGCTCTGAAGTCTGAGAAAGTTTGTCTAGTCGCGTGTGGACGAAACCACTCGATCATCTGCACAGGTGGGTTTACGATCCCTGATGAGTGTTTTTTCTTCAGTTACAGGTGCGTACTAAGCTAGCTGTGTGTTTGTCTCCAGCGCAGGGAAGAGTGTTCTCCTGCGGTGGGAACAGCGAGGGTCAGCTTGGACTTGGAGACTGCGAGGAGAGGACGACCTTCCAGAGAGTCGGGTTCTTCGACTCACATGGACCAATCAGGATGCTCGCAGCTGGCTCAAACACTTCAGCTGCTCTCACAGATGAGTTGTGGCAGCGGATGGAAACCTTCTCCCTTAGGTGGATACATATGAAGCCACCTGGTGGGGAGTTGGAGGGAAAATTGTGACCAATTTGAGACATAATTAAGACACTTGGTCATCAAAAATGTGGGTCTGAACCAGCAACCCACCGGTTACCGGGCGAACCCTTTAGCCACCATTGCCCCATAAACAAAATAGAGAAATTAAACACAGATCAATATGTTTCAATTGCTTCATCAAAAATCATTTTATAACTCAAATTAATAGAAGCACAAATCAGATACATGGAGAGGTGCCAGTTGAGGTGGCTCGGGCATCTAGTTACGAGGCTTCGTGGACTCCTACCTGGTGAGGTTTTCTGGGCACGTCCAACCGGGAGGAGACCTAAAGGTAGACCCAGGACGCGTTGAAGGGACTATAGCCGTGTTCGAGATGAGCCAGTTCTGCGCAGATTAGACCAGCGGTGATCGGCGAGCACTGCATGCCGGTTAGATTTGTGTCCGACCTGATGCCGACTTGCTCTGACGTCATGCATACGTAGGCAACGATAACTTCGTGAGATCAAGGCGGCCGCAGAGTTTGGAGCAAGGTGCTGCAGTTGCTCTCCACCGGCTGCAAAACCTAGAGGATGACGGGAAACGCCTGGCTCTCACCTGATCTAAGATCTGATTGGTTCATATTTTGATCCAAACATCCGGTGGTAGAACATGAAATGTTAGTTGGTCACATGTATTCTGTAAATCATGTAATGTTGATGATGACAATATAGGCCTTAAAGAGAAATGTGTTTTGTGTTATTTTGTCACGTTTCCTATGAACACACTAAACCTACAGCTGATAACCTTTACTTATTATTACAGTCATGTCTCCATATACAATATATGATATCCACAAGCACGTGAGGATGTGTTTCAGCTGCTAACAGGCAGCAGAAATAAAATAAATAATTAAACAAGTGTGAACTCTAACCGACTCTAACGCGATATCTTCAGCCTTCGTCACCCCCGAGCTACACATGTAGGGAAATCTGTCCAACTTAAACGCCGGCTTTCAGCCACCCCCCCCTGCTGCTTCCGTCTGCTCTCGTCTGTTTTCCAGACGAGGCGCTGCTCAACTCGAACACGGCCTATGTCTCTCAGCTGGTTAGGGAACGCCATAGGACTCCCCCGGGGGAGCTGGCCCAAGTGGCTGGGGAGAGGGAAGTCTGGGCCTGCCTGCTTAGGCTGCTGCCCCCGCGACCCGACCCGGGAAAAGTGGCCAAAAATGGATGGATAGAAATCAGAAATTGTTCAGGATTATTTTAGTTTGATCACAAAATTAAAGAAGATGTTATTAAAAATGTATTTATTATGAAATAATTAATTTTCTGCCACGTTTTTTGTTTTTGTTAAAACAATATTATAAATGAGATAAACAACAAAAACGTAATGACAAAAGGTTTAGGTAATAAAAAAATTGTAATTAATTGAAGAAAATGACAAACAAGCTGCAAACACAGACGAGTTGTTTATGTTCTGGTGTGGCTGACGTGCGGCTGTGTTGAACGTGATGTTTACAGCGAGTGGAAAACTGTTCATGTGGGGCGACAACACCGAGGGTCAGATCGGTCTGGGGAAGGAGAGTCAGGCATCCTCGCCACAGGAAGTCAGCGTGGGACGTCCCATCAGCTGGGTGTCCTGCGGGTACTACCACTCTGCTTTAGTCACGGGTAAGAACGAGCTCTGACGAGAGCAGAGTTGTTCTGAACACGTAAAAATAAAAGATAACAGAGAAAATAAAGTTTTTGTAACATTTATTCTTTTTTTTAGCCGTTTTTTTAAGTCTGAAGCTTCTGGTAGAATGTGAAGATGAAATATGATACAACAGAAACAAAATCTTAATTGTCATGGTGGACAAACCTCCATCACAGGTAAAGGTGTTTAACCATGTTTGGTGTTTCAGTGGACGGAGCTCTGTACACATTTGGGGAGCGGGACAGCGGGAAATTGGGTCTGGGTACCGAGCAGCTTTCTGCACACCGACTTCCTCAACGGGTGAAGAATATCAAGGCGCCGGTGAGGAAGGTGGCCTGTGGCGGCGGGCACACGGTTGCGCTTACAGGTACAGGATTGCAGGATTACAAACACATCGGATAAACAGAATGACATCTAATTACAGGTTGATGTTTGTGTTTAGGAAGAGTTTCTAATGCTCACCAAATTAATCTGATTTATTTTTAAATCTGAAATAGCTCAAATAGTTTCTTATATTAAATTGTTTGATTTGATTTTTTATTTTATTTTATTGAATTGAAAAATAGTTTTCGGATACAAGCGGCCGAAATGAGTTTCCTCCATAGGGTGGCCGGGCTCAGCCTTAGAGATAGGGTGAGGAGCTCGGACATTCGGGAGGGACTCGGAGTAGAACCGCTGCTCCTCCGTATCGAAAGGAGCCAGCTGAGGTGGTTTGGGCATAGGGATGGGTACCGAATTCGGTACTTTTTAAGGTACCGACCGAATTCCATAGTACCGACCGAGCACCGATTCACGTCATTTCAAACGGTGCCTCGTTTCGGTACCCGTCCATCATAACGAGAACTTGCCTAGACAGCTGCGCATGCGCAAGAGCGTTATGTCGTCGCTCGCTGTGAACCAGTTGTAAACAGAGCAGCACGGTAGAGAGAACGCACGCTAAAGCTTGGGTCCACTTCACTAAATGTGATGGGTAACTGGGTGATGATGAAACCAGCGACAACGATCTAAGTGAGACATCCTCATCTTAATCTGCTCCGGTAGGTAAATATAATTAGCTTGATATGTTAGCTTCCGTTTCGCTAATGGTGCGTTCGCTTTCTCCTCGGAACTCCGAATTTCCGACTAGAACAACATGAACGCGCTCTAAAGTTTGGCTTCACTTTACTAAATGCGACGGGTGATTGGGTGAAGATGAAACCAGCGACAACGATCTAAGTGAGAGGCATCATCGTTTTAATCTGCTCCAGCAGCTAAATAAACTGTTTAAGATATCGCTAGCTTGATATGTTAGCTTCCATTGCTACCACTGTTATCAGCTAATGGTGCGTTCGCTTTCTCCTCGGAAATTCTAACTTCCCAGTAGGAAAAATCAAATGAAAAAGGACGGCAAAAGGAATGAAGATACACAGTAAATTTAGTTCACAGTAAAGATGTTTGCTTCAGTTTAATTATCAGCTTATAAAACTACAAGGACGATGTTAAAATACAAACAGAGGGGGGGGCAGAGCCTGTTGGCTCGTTCTTCCCCCCTTTCACGCTGTTTCTGCCACGCCAGGCAGAATAGCTGAATCGCAACTTCTAACGCAGACTCATTACCGAGTCTTTTGATTTCTGAGTGAATTAACTTAAGAAAGCGCGTCGACAAAACGCTTTACCATCAACGTGTACCGAGGACAACTCTGGACCGGGTCGCAGCGCATCTTTGTCTTTTCTGCCAGCCAAGGTGCCCTGGATGAAACATCCTAAGGTGACGCCCCGGATCCGAAAGAGGGTCCAAAAGAATTCGGTGAGACAGAACACGGTGTTTAGCGTTTTGATGCATCTTTTCCAACTAAGAGCCTAAGTTTATTCAAACCATCACTTTTCACTCAGACACCTGGTTCTTCCTGAAGCAAAATCAGATGCACTCACGCACCCATCCCAGCTCATATCACTCTCACCATCACAACATTCTCAATCTTCATAAATTCATCAGAAGGTCTATTTGAGCCAGAACAGCATATCAACTGTTAAAGAGATTGTCCCACAAAGTGACTAATGTTGATTGTATTTCCTGTTTGTCAATTTCAAAATCATTAGTTTAATTTGAAGAATTAAAACTTTTAAACGTCAAACTGGTTTCCTCATTGAACTGAAACACAGACACTCAGATATTATCGGCAGTTTATGGATGAAAACAACCTTTGAGTATTCTGAACAATATAAAATTTGGTTATTGATTTATTAAAATTAATATTCCGAATTAATACGTAGCATGGTTTCTCTTTCATAAAAGAGCATAAATCCATAACGCTACAGTTGTATGTTATTTATCGTGATATTTATAAAATATTGTTATATATTGAGAAAAATATATATTTAATTATAAAAGAGAATTAAAATAATAAACACTCAAAAGTATCAAAAATTGGTACCGTTAAGTACCGGTATCGATTCCTAGGTACCGGGAATTAGTACCAGATCGATTCAAATGTCAAAGGTACCCATCCCTATTTGGGCATCTGGTCAGGATGCCTCCTGGACGCCTCCCTGGGGAGGTGTTTCGGGCATGTCCTGCCAGCAGGAGGTCCCCGGGTCGACCCAGGACACATTGGAGAGGTTACATCTCCAATCTGGTCCGGGAACGCCTTGGGGTCCTGCCGGAGGAGCTGGTGGAGTTAGCCGGGGAGAGGACGGTCTGGAGCTCCCTAGTTGGGATGCTGCCCCCGCAACCCGGACCCGGATAAGCGGAGGAAGACGACAACGAAAAATAGTTTTGTGATTTAAAAAAAAAAAGTTTAGTAAAAAATAATTTGAATAATTGTTTTGGTCTGAGTTTTCTTTATTGTCTTTTATTTATAATTCTAGCAGTTTTAATAGTTTTATTGTTTGTTTATTATTTGCATGAATAAAATACTTTTTTCTTCAATTGTAAAAATTTTTTATGACAATTTATTTGTAAATTTGTATTTTTTACTTTTCACACCACAGTAGATTAAACAGGTGATTTTAAAATTTCTGTTCCCTAAAACAACATGTTGAATAAGAGAAACTCCAGACAGAACAGTTATTACATAAAACATTTGATTAAATCAAACTTTAACCCTTTCAGAGGATGATGTTTACACCTTTGGCCTGGGTCAGTTCGGACAGCTCGGCCACGGGACGTTCATCTTTGAGTCTCGGCTGCCGCGTTCAGTCGAACACTTCAGGAAGAACCGGGTGCGTCACGTGTCCTGTGGCGAAAACCACACAGCTGTCATCGCAGGTGAGCACCAGCTAACTTTACCTCAGCGTCTGATCCAAACTGGGCTCCTGATTGGCTGACAACCTGAGTCTTTTGTCAGGCGGCGGGCTGCTGTACACGTTTGGAGATGGCCGACATGGAAAACTGGGTCTGGGAGAGGAAAACTTCACCAATCAGTTTAAACCCACGCTGTGTCCGCGCTTTCTGAAGTACGACGTCCAGGCGGTGAGCGTTCGACCCCTTTCTGCTTTAATGGGTCAATGGTGGACAGCAGAATGATGCTGATGCAGTTCTCCTGCTGTCCAGGCGGCGTGCGGTGGCTGTCACATGGTTGTTCTGGCCCGACCCAGAGATCCCCTCGCCGCTGAAGTGACTCTGGAGGAGGACGACGTGACCGAGGACTTCCTGGAAAAACCCTACGTGGAGCTGCTGGGTGAAACAAACGACTCCTCGACGCTCCAGAGGAGCCTCTCTGCTCGGGTTCGCCGAAGGGAGAGGGTTTGTGTTCACACTGAAAACTCGTCTCGCTTAACCCAGAAACATTTACCCGCTCATCTAATCAGAGCTAACTTCTGTGATTAGGAACGATCTCCAGACCAGTTCGGAACCACGTTACAGACTTTGCCCTCCATGATGCCCAGCCTCCGTCAGCTCCCTCTTCCTGTCTCCCGTCAGACCGCCCCACCCGGACTGCCCCCACCTGAGCTGAGCCACAGAAAGGTCCCAAACCAGCAGGAGAGCTCCGACTCCACCCAGCAGGGTACCACCTCTTTTTCCTCACACTGGGATTATGAAGGGGATTTAAAAAAATAATTAACTAATTGACACTAAAATAGATTAGATATTTTTTTATGTATTTTACACATTTTATCATTTTTACAGTGTGCTACATTTATTTTCATTTAGAGGAGACATTTTATACAGATTTGTAAACAAGCTATAACAGGTCTATATAAAACATGTTTGTGATGGTGGTGGAGGAGGTGAGGGCCCACCCAGTAACCCAGAAGAGCCTCTCTTCCCACCAGTAACGTGCCAAGTTGCAGGTTTGCATCTGGTGTTATCTTTCGCAGTTGTTGTGCAAGACGCTACACCCTCGCTGCCTGCTGGCTGACGGTGGTCAGAGGGTCCGGTGTTTGAATTTCAAACATTTTCGAGACAAGTTTCGTTATAGAAATCTGGACCAGAAGCACAAACGCTGTTAAAATGACCTACTGGGAAGAACTGTCCAAATGGACGAAAACGCCCCTCATGATGCATGAGGGTACAGCGCTTTATGTCAGGGACGCCATCGTTCACATGGACGAGGCCTGGGTTTGGTCCAGCAACCCTCTGATTATGGGGTGAACTCATAACCCCCGAGCCACTGTCTCCCATGATGACTGTGTGTTGGGCCGCTGAAGTGTGTTGTGCATTTCCAGAGCAGCCGAACGGAGAGGCAGACGGCGTTGTGGCGAGCCTGACGGACACCGACAGCGTTGGAGGCCTTGGAGAAACCACAGACTTCCTCAACATGGTGTGGGATCGCTGAGTTAATCCAAACCCAAATATTTGGATCGAGCTCATTTTCTTCTTTGTGACTCTTGACAGACACATGTGATGAAGATGGATCCCAGTGATAAATCACTGACGCTGTCTCCTCTGCAGAAGGTGAGCCAGCATTAACCTCATCACCTGCTTTTACTCAGTCTGCTTTGATTTATTCATCTCCTCACCAGCACCGGATCAGTTATTCTTTCTCTCTGCTGGTTTCTTAAGCTGTTTCTGGTTCATCTTTGTCTAAAGAATAACAAATCAAATCAAAACTGTAGAATTTGTGTAGACGGATTTTTATCATTTGGCTAGTCCTCTGTTGTTTGGACAGAGATTGTAAGGAGATAGGAAAGCAGAAACCGCCTCACACCGCTAGCAGATTCTGCTTTTTCTGCATGTTTTTTTCTTCTTTTTTTAAATATATGCCTATTTTTCATCCTCTTCTTGCTTTCCTGTGCTGGGGACAGAGGAAGGGTAAGTCCATAAAAGAACACAAGTCAGAGGAGAGAAGTGACTCTCGTAGCCGGGCGTTACCCACCGAGCTGCTGAAGAGCAGCGGCTCTTTGGCCTCTCCAAATCTGCAGAAACAGAAGAAGACAAGCCAGAACAACGAGAACCTCATCTTGGCTGTGGAGCAGCTGGGAAGGAGACCGAACAAAAAACAAGTTCCAAGTGTCGATGAAGTCAAGAAGCCAGCATTCAAACGGCATCCTAAACCAGCTCAGGGTGGAAAACAGCTGATGGGAGTGAGCAGGAAGCCAGCAGCAGCCTGGAAACCAAGTCCAGAAACCAGACAGAAGGTTTTAAGTGCCACAGCTAAAAGGGGGGAGTCCAAACCGCTGAGGGTTAAAAGTAAACCGACAATCAGCTCTCCTGCTCAAACAGACTCACCTGGTTCCCACCTGAAGAACCTAACTGATGAAGAGAGTGGAAGGAGCTCTCAGCCAATCACAGAGGAGAAACCCGCTTCCGAACCAAAACAAAACACAGACTTATCAAAAAAGTCAAAGGATCTGAAAAACAAAAGAGAAGCTCTGAATAAAAAATCGTCAGATCTGTGTCTGCTTGCTGGAGCTGCATCACTGGCAGCGGGAGCCGTTTTAGTCCAAGAAATGAGATCCAGGATCACATCCAGCTCTCCGTCACCCTCCGAGAGGAGCCACGGTTTTCCTCTGAGCGCTGCGACCAGATCAGGAAGTGAGGAGTCCAGAGATTTTAGCAACAAATCAGTTGTTAGCATTAACATCATACCTGCTGCTGAGCCTCCAGAACAGGGGACGAGTCGGGATGGGGACACAAGTCAGGACCAGAAAGACACGAGACAGGACGAAGATACAAGTGAAGATGTGAAGAACACAAGTAAGGATACAAGCTGGGACGAGAAGGACACGAGTCAGGATGAAGGCGAGGAGCTGACAGGTTCTGTATTGGGACGGGAGGAGGAGGAGGAGGAAAGCAGGAGAACCAGCCCAGATATGAGTCAAGAAGAAGAGGAGGTCAGTGATCCGAATAAAAATGAAGAGGACAGCAACACTCTTCAATCAGAACACTCATCTGAAGCTGGGGAAGACGAGGAGGAAGAGGAGAAAACAAGTGGGGCTACAGATAGTGAAGATTATATGAAAGAGAAGGAGAGGAAGCGCCAAGAAGTAGAGGAGGAAGAAGAGGAGGAGGAAGGGTCGAGTCAAGAGACTGAGAGTAAAGGAAGTGAGACTGAAAACGAGGAAGAAGAGGAAAGTTTGAAAAGCAAGAGTGAGGAAGAAGAGGATGAAAGTGAGATGTCTAAGTTATCAGAGCATGAAGAAGAGAATGAGGAAGAGAGCAAAGAGGCAGAAGAAGATGAAAAACAAACTAGTGCTGAAGAGGAGAGCAAAAGTGAAGAAACTGAGGGAGAAGAAGAAAGTGAAAATGAAGAAGAGGGTGAGGGAAAAAGTGAAGAAGAGGAAGAATGTGAAGAGGAGGAGGAAGAGGAGGAAGGAAGTGACAATGAACAAGAAGAAGAAGAAAGTGAAAAAGAAGAGGATGAGGAAGAGGAGGAAGGAAGTGATGATGAACAAGAAGAGGAAGAAAGTCAAAAGGAAGAGGAGGAAGGAAGTGATGATGAACAAGAAGAGGAAGAAAGTGAAAAAGAAGAAGCTGAAGAGGAGGAGGATGAAGAGGAAGAAGAAGAAGCTCAAGAGGAAGATGAGGAGGATGAAGAAGAAGCTCAAAAGGAGGATGAGGAGGATGAAGAGGAAGAAGAAGCTCAAGAGGAAGATGAGGAGGATGAAGAAGAAGCTCAAAAGGAGGATGAGGAGGATGAAGAGGAAGAAGAAGCTCAAAAGGAGGATGAGGAGGATGAAGAGGAAAAAGAAGCTGAAGAGGAGGAGGATGATGAAGAAGAAGAGGAGGGGGAGGAGGAAATGGATGAGGAAGAGGAGCAGCTTGTTAAAAAGAAAACCTCTTCAGATCCAAAAGGACAAAGTAGTAAATCTGCAGCTGAAATCAAAAGAAGGTCAGGAGGTAAAGGTCCATCAGCCGGTGAGGAAGAGGAGTTCTGGGATGATGTTTTACCCAAATACCTCCACTTGAAGTAACAGTAGCTCTCTGACCAGTCAACCCACCAACCAACCAGTCAACTCACCAACCAACCAGTCAACTCAACAACCAGTTAGCTGACCCACCAATCGACCAGAGAGACGAGAACCTAACCCAAACCCATTGGTCTCAAACGGCTGTAGGACCCCAGCCCCATGTGGACCCATCCCCTGAAAGGCCATGTGAGCTGGTGAAACTAGTGAACGTGTGAACCAAGTACCGCAGCGATTTCCTAACGTGATGATTCTTGTACATATGGCAATAAAAACCTTCGGATTTAGAACTAGTGTTAAGATGATGAAATGTCACCTTGTTGCTGGAGAAGAGGCAGGAACTGGTGTTTGAGTTGGGTTCACCACTTCACACATGACCTGGAAATCCCTGCTGCTGTTTCCTGCTGCTCCTGCTCCAGACTAGGTTCAGCCAGAGCAAACGCCGTGTGTGAGCGGAGCTCATAAATGGACGTGGGACCAGGTCACGCAGACCTACAGCTCTGTCCTGGAAAAGAGCTGCCTGCTGACCACCACCTGGTCTCCAACAGACTTCTGACATTTTCACACCAGAATCTCTTGAGAACATTTAAAGTTTGTGGTTATTTGGGGATTTTCAATAGTTTTATTAATTTTTTTTCTCAAGGTTTGTGTTTTGGTCTCAGTTTGTTATATTTGAGTTTCACTCTAGAATTCCACCTGATGACTCATCAATGCCTTTTTATTTATTCAGTTTTTCATCCATATGGTGTTTTAAAGATTTCAGTTCTGTTTGTAATAAATGTTGTTTCTACCTTTTTAAATCACACTCCTCAGCCTCCCTGGAAAGGTCTACTCCAAGGTACTGGAGAGGAGGGGCCGATCGATAGTTGAATCTCAGATAGAGGAGGAGCAATGTGGTTTTCGTCCTGGCCGTGGAACTGTGGACCAGCTCTATACCCTTGCAAGGGTGATGGAGGGGGCATGGGAGTTTGCCCAACCAATCCACATGTGCTTTGTGGATTTGGAGAAGGCTTATGACCGTGTCCCCAGGGGCACCCTGTGGGGGACGCTCCAGGAGTATGGGGTGGGTGGCTTTCTGTTAAGGGCCATTCAGTCCCTTTACCAGAGGAGCGTGAGTTTGGTCCGCATAGCCGGTAGTAAGTCGGACCTGTTCCCAGTGAGGGTTGGACTCCGCCAGGGCTGCCCTTTGTCACCGGTTCTGTTCATCACTTTTATGGACAGAATTTCTAGACGCAGCCGTGGTGTGGAGTGTGTCGAGTTTGGTGGAAGGAGAATCTCGTCTCTGATTTTTGCGGATGATGTGGTCCTCCTAGCTTCATCCAGCTCTGACCTTCAGCTCTTGCTGGGTAGGTTCGCGGCCGAGTGTGGAGCGGCTGGGATGAGGATCAGCACCTCCAAATCTGAGACCATGGTTCTCGACCGGAAAAGGGTGGCTTGCCACCTCCGGGTCGGGGGAGAGGTCCTACCTCAAGTGGAGGAGTTAAGTATCTCGGGGTCTTGTTCACGAGTGAGGGTAGGAGGGATCGGGAGATCGACAGGCGGATTGGTTCGGCGTCTGCAGTGATGCGGACGCTGAGCCGATCTGTCGTGGGGAAGAGGGAGCTGAGCCAGAAAGCCAGGCTCTCGATTTACCGGTCGATCTACGTCCCAATCCTCACCTATGGTCATGAGCTTTGGGTAATGACCGAAAGAACGAGATCGCGGATACAAGCGGCTGAAATGAGTTTCCTCCATAGGGTGGCCGGGCTCAGCCTTAGGGATAGGGTGAGGAGCTCGGACATTCGGGAGGGACTCGGAGTAGAACCGCTGCTCCTCCGGATCGAAAGGAGCCAGTTGAGGTGGTTTGGGCATCTGGTCAGGATGCCTCCTGGACGCCTCCCTGGGGAGGTGTTTTGGGCATGTCCTGCCGGCAGGAGGCCCCCGGGTCGACCCAGGACACGTTGGAGAGGTTACATCTCCAATCTGGTCCGGGAACGCCTTGGAGTCCTGCCGGAGGAGCTGGTGGAGGTGGCCGGGGAGAGGACAGCCTGGAGCTCCCTAGTTGGGATGCTGCCCCCGCGACCCGGACCCGGATAAGCGGAGGAAGACGACGACCTTTTTAAATTGTGTTGCTTCTTTCATAGATGTTAATTTTGAATATGAGAAAGTGATCAACTCACGTTCTTCCTGCTAATCTGAGTTCTTCATGTTGAAATGAAATGTTTGTTAATCTAATCAGAGTAAAAGTGAAACCAATTCTGAGATTATGAACCTTGAGCTCATCACCACACTCACCCTCTCATGGGTCTTTGCTACACCAGGTGATTAAGTTTGGCCTTTAATGAGTAAAGTTGAGGGTTTTATTCGTCACTGGCTAAAGTTCAGCTAATTAATTTGTGGATTTACTGGTAAATTAATCCTTTATTTTCAAAAATCATCTTAAATGTCAGGTTTTTTCATGGCGGAAAAAACGTAAGTGAAAGGTCCTGCAAAGAAATCCTCTAAGACAGCCTCAGAAAAACGAAAATTCACACTTTTTTTTGTGTCTGAATTGTTCTGGCTTAATAAGCTGATGATGTGAGGCTGCAGGAAGAACTCGTCATCTCATCATTTGGTTCTGTCAGGATCAGGTTGGACCCATTTTTATCTCCACTGAACTAGTTTTTGAGCTCCTAATCCCCCCTGAAACCGTTACCAGCTCTCCTCTCCTCTCCTCTCCTCTCCTCTCCTCTCCTCTCCTCTCCTCTTCCTGTCCAAGTTATTAGTTAGATAAAAACCAGGCTTGTTGAAGATTGAAGAATTGTTTCTGTCCAGCGTCCAAATCTGGTTTTAACCAGAAGCTGTTTGTTAAAAAAAAGTGAAACTTAACATTTTCTAATTTCCCTTATGGTGGCAGGATGTGGAGACACTGAGAAACAAGGGTGAAAGGGAGGAGGAAGAAGAGGAAGAAGAGGAGGAAGAGGAAGAAGAGGAAGAAGAGGAGGAAGAGGAAGAAGAGGAGGAAGAGGACTCGGTCATTGATGCTGATGATGGAGAGGAAGAGGAGGGTAACGCATCGCGCTGTTTGACAGAGAGTGCTGTAAGTACTCAGCTGTGCATTAATACAAGTATTAGCTTTATTAAAGGTAATCGTGATCTTCTCTGAAGGAGGAGGAGCCGAACAGAGAGGCTGCACCTGATGGAGAGCAGAAAGGTGAGATCGCTGAGGAACAGCTTCGATGTGCACAAGCCAAAGATTATAATCCTTAAACCACTGGATTAATAGTTTGTAATTTCAACAGCTGAGGTCATCAGGCAGAACGACACAGCAGCTGAGGAAAAAACAGGGAAGGAGAGCAAAGCAGCCAATGGGAAGAGAGATGGCAATGGCAACAGCCTATCAGGCTCCAACATGAAGGTAACGGTCTTTAATCTACAGCAGGTAAAATGACGCTGTTGTCTCTGGGGTTCACATGATTTGTTGAAGTGATCAGAAGTTCTCCAGAGACTTAAGAACTTTGGATGCGTACTAATTCAGTTTTCAGCTCTTTTAAATGATTCGTTTTAGTATTTTGAGAGTATATTAATGTTGTTTCTTGTGGAGTTCAAACATCTAATTTTGCATTAGTATAAAACTTTAATCTTAATTTAAACATAAGTGAAGGAGCGCTCTCATAGTTCTGGACCATGGACAGCACACACACACACACACACACACATACACACACACACGCACGCACGCACGAGTCATTAATGACTAATTAAACCTTCAGGTGTTTTGACAAGCACAGTTTTCACACAGGTTATGTTGGAGTTTACAGAAGTATTTACTCTGATTACAGCATAAACCATGTTTGTAGAAAACACGGACAAACCCGCCGCGCCGTCTGAAGAGCTCAGCGGGTATCTCCCTCACACCACCGCCATCTTGGCTGCATCCTGCATCTTGTCACTCGCGGGAAATACAAACATGATGCTGAGAGCAGTGCTGTGAGGGTGGGGGCAGATGACTGACACTCATCAAACTTTGAGCCAATGTTGCTCCTAGCTAACTGAAGTTTGGTGGGCGCTTTTAACCAGAAAACCGTGTTTTAGCAGCTCGGCTACCCTCTGCCTTCTAGAATGTAACACATTTAACGCGAGACCAAGGCTGAAGCCTTCCCTTGAGCAAGCAGGAAGCTATCTGCTAACACTAGCACGGACGACTCATGCCAATCAAAAGGACACGTAAACTAGATCTATTAAACCTAAAGATGTTTTTAGAACCAAGCTGTAAACATGTTTATTTCTATAAATGTCCGCTCTGTCCTCAGATTTCCTTCTTCAGACGACTGTCCTCGACCAGGTTCAAGCAGACGGAAGACATGGAGGTGGATCAGTCTGTCCTCGAAGAGGAGCCTCCATCTCCAGCTGCTGTAAAGTCATCAGGACCCAGACGGCCTCGATCTGGAGCCTGCAGCCTGCTGTGATGCTGAGGATGAATCCTCAGGTGGAAACCGAACAAGTCCTCACACAGACACGGAGACGAGTCTCGGAGGACAGCAAATGTGTAAAACCTCATCATGTTGGCTGGATCTCTGAGATATAACAAGAGCCCATTCTGTTGTGCAGTGACATCACTACGTGTCATTTCACTTCCGCTTTAAAGACACAGAGTCTGACTTTTAGGAGCTTTTATTATGAGTTTTAGACAGTAAAGGGTGATTTGTTGCTGATGTCAGTAATATCTTTATGCTGTGGGTTCTTCTCAGGGGACTTTAAAACCCTTTTTGACATTAGAATGAGATTTAACCCAAAACATTTAAACGTTAAAACAGGATCAGACAGGACGCTCCTGATATTTAGGAAAAGAAGAACACATCTCTGAAAGAAGTCGATGTTCATCCACGTCCAAATCAACCAATCAGACTTAAGAAAAACAGGAAATTTAATTCAGTTCTAGTGTTTAATGTCAGTTTGAGTTTTAAAGAGAAAAACAAAATGAGACGGTGCAGCTGGCCTGTTGTGAGGTAGGCACTTGTGATTTTAGTTGTTTGTAAACAACTTTATCAATAGGAACTATTAAGGAGCCCTATATGACTCTATTCTGTGTGATAATCATTTTTCTTCCTGTGTATTTAAGAACTTTGACCTGTGACTGAACCACTACCAGCTGAGCCTCCACCACTTCAACCAGTGCAGCTTTTTGATGTTATTCTTTTCTACTAGAAATGTAGTTTAGTGGGGCTTCCACACATGTTGTGTTTTTAAGTGTAAAAGATGAATTTCTAATTATTTATTTTAACTTAGTTTTGAAGCACATTTTGCACTTTTTTATCAGAGCAAAGTTTTATTTTCTGACACGTTAATCTCATTTAAAGTGACACACTCATTTTTTATGATCTGCATTATTTTTTAACAATAAAGTTTTTATATGAAGCTGAACACAAGTCATTATTTTCTATAAACAGACATTTTAAATAAAATGAATGCTAGTAGGGATTTATTTCTGAGCAGAACATATTATTTCTTAGGTTTAACAACTTATTTGTATAAGAAGACTATATTATACTACGAGTGATCCGACTCCAGCATCACAGATAGAACTTTTTATAGAATGATTTAATCTCTATGGGATGGTCAACAAATTAAATATATTGAAATACCACACATACCCAGTAATATTAGTTTATTAAGCTACTATATATGGAATTAAATGGGATTTCATAGTTGTAAGAAATTGGGGGTTAATATAGTTGCTTTTAAGCTTAATATATTACCTTTACTTATGACCAAGAAGCTGTGATATTCTATATAAATATAGGATATCAACCTAATCAGTCTGAATGTTTAATCAGAAGAGTCTATGATTTATTTATTTTTTTTGCTTTTTCAGTGATCAAACACACTTCGTATCAATTCAGACAGAGTCAGGTATATAAAAGGTAAGAAATTTATTTTCTAAACAAATTAAAACAAGACAAGTTAAATAAGATGACTGTGATGGATGAATCTAAGTGATGGATTGATGAATGGTGATTGATTCCGCGGGTCCTTAAAAAGTCTTAAAACTTGCCACAACTTTCCAAATTTAAGACCTTAAAAATCCTCAAAAATGACAAATAATCCTTAAATAGAGTTTCCGAAGGTCTTAAATAACCAAAGACCCAATAAACAAGATTCTTTTATTTCCATAAAAATTTCGTGAATTTCTAGTTAGAAGTGCAAGTTTAATGGTAGCTGGATGGCTAATCCCATGTTTGCGACGTGGTTAGCACCGGTTCCAGGCAATAGCTGGAAATTATAGCTTAAATTTAATTTAAAAAAATTGCTTAAATTTGGTCAAAGTGGCCTTAAAAAGGTCTTATAAAGTCTTAAATTTGGCTCCCTTAAACCTGCAGTACCCTGTTGAATGTTGTGTGTTTATCAGTACCTTGTATCTAGAAGAAGCTGAGTTCTGGGAGTGAAAAGAATTTGGTTTGCATTAACTAGGAAGCTGATTCTTATCAAAACCACATCAGACGCAAATCATGCTGTATCTACCTCACCCTTTTTGGAGACCCTCTTCGCAGATCCGGAGGTCAGAAAGGTCAGATGACCTCTGGGCACCGGGTTCAGTAGATTTACCGCAGCACCGACGCTCCAGTCCAGAGATGTCGCCAGGCACACAGGTTGGAGCTAGTTTGCGTCTGGAGCAGCTGTTTCTGAATAGCTGAAGGAACCGTTTTGCTTTGTCACTGCAGGCAGCTTTTAGCTTGTCGAAAGCTTGTCAAGAGATGCGGTGGTTAGAGAGTTTTCTCCCGGTGGCCAGTCAGAGTTAGCTCATCTAACAGAATGCTGAATCACTCTGCAAGTGATACTGTTTTAATATTCTCATATTATGATTTACTTGGCCAATCGGAACGTGCCATGTTAAGAGGTGTTAACAAACAACCCAGAACATCACGCCTTCTCAGATACAGGATGCACTGATTTGTGGGTAAGAAAATATCTATGTGCATGAAATTACTTTAACTTTATCTTATGACCATTGTGTATGAGTGTAGATAATGATTCGCTAGTTAAACCAAACATTACTGATCATAACATCGAAAATGTCTCACTGTAATATTAAAATTAATTTCAACCTTATTAACTTAGGCACAGATTAATCAAAACATTTCATTTAACCATATTGTTCATTTCATTTCATGATTAATTAACTCATGTGAGCTGAAAATGTTCACTTTATTCAGAGGCATGAGGAATCCTGTAGAAGCGATAAGGGAAGCTCAAGGCCTTGAAACGGGAACAGTTTGTTGCCAATATGTTATCATGTGTTCAGAGCTGCAGAGGCCCGGACACCAGCTGATGGAATGGCAGGATCTGGCAGATTAAAGGCAACAAATGTAGACTCCTGTCTCCTTATGACCAGATACTGGAGAGATCAAACTGTACATGAAAAACTGGCCATTTCTGGACGTTACATAGTGATTTAATGTAATTATTACTGGTTATTATTTTTAACAGAAACATGTTTTTCTCTTCAGAAGAAAAGATAAATAAAATTTTCTTAGACAACTTTATTTAATCAATCAATCAATCAAAGCTTTATTTATAAAGCGCCTTCCGCAACCCTGTCAGGAAGCCCAAGGCATTATTTAGCATATTTTCCCAGATCAAAATATATTTTAATGTATTTATTGAGTGTTTTGCTATTGGACTTCTGTGCTTGTCATGGATTTTCCATAATGGACATCAAGTTCAGACATAAAGGTGTCCATATGTGCTCTTGGCACCATGATACCTTAGGTTGCAGCTCAATGATCGACTTAGTTGTGGTTTCACCTGATCTGCGGCTTCATGACTTGGACACTCAGGTGAAGAGAGGGGCGAAGCTATCAACTGACCACTACCTGGTGGTGAGTTGGCTTCGTTGGTGGGGGAGGATGCCAGCCAGACCTGGCAGGCTCAAATGTATTTTGAGGATCTGCTAGGAATGACTGGCGGAGTCTCCTGTCAGAAGAAGTTTCAATTCCCACTTCC